AGTGGGGAGGCTACAGAATGACTTATTAGGAAATGACTCCTTCCCAGAGCAGAAAGAGTTTCTGGAATCTTATTCTATGTCTTCCTTTGACCTCTCTTCAGTCTTTCACATTTCCTTTTCTGTCTTTGCCACGTCTCTGCATAAATGGAAACCACCTCATGACTGATTCCATTTCCATGTAATATTCATATATTAGTAAGTAGTCATTTCATTTTAAATAAATGCACTTTCCATATTTTTAAATGTCTCTTAAAAGGAAACTTTGCAGTACTTTATAAGTGGAAAGCCAGTTTCATGCTTTATAACAAAAAAATAGAAGTAAATTAAGTTCTAATAATTCATAGCTAGAAGCTGCCACTTGATGTGGTAGATTGAATTACCCCAATTCACCATCACTCTAACTGTGATACATCTTCACTCTTCATGGCAAGTCAAGGGGTGAAGAAGTAAATTCTGATTACCATGAGGCCATGGGAAAGGTGAAGATGTGTTATGCTCATGAGCTTTTTTCCCTCTGCTGACTGCACTTTATACCCTCTGCCATAATAAATCATCATTATGAGTATGCCTATATGAAGAGTTCTGTGAGTTCTGCTAGTGAATCATCAAACCTGGGAATGGTCTTGGGGACTTGCAACACAGCCGTCAAACCTTGGACAGTGCCTATGGCTACTCTTCTACCAGGAGTTGAGTACTGTTGACATCTTTTTAGAGACTCCATGAGTAACTGGAAAAAGACAAACTAATGCTAGTTGTTCATTCCTACACTCACTCACTAATTTAGTAATTCAACAAATATTTATTAAACAGCTGTTATGTTGCAGATGCTGTTTTGGGTGGCAAGACAGTTGAAGTCTGTGGCTTAATGGAGTTTACATTGTATTGCAATAAACAAGTAAACCAATAAATATAGAACAAAATAGAGTTTGTGTTAATTCTATGAATTACATGAAATTGATCAATGTGATAATAACTGCGAGGCCACTTTAGATGGGAATGGTCAGGAGGGATCTTTCTGAAAAGGTGGCATTTTGAAATAAGACCCAAAAAGTGAGAAGGAACTGGTGATGCAAGAATTCATGGCAGAAAGAATAGCAGATGTAAAGGCCCTTAGGAAAAAGAAGGAAGCCAGCGTGAGCAGAGTGGTCAGGCAAGGGAAAAACTAATGGGAGATAGGATTAGAGAAGCCATCTAGGGTCTTAAAAGCCACAGCAACATCTTTGAATGTTATCGTAGGTGCATTGGGAAACTATGGAAGGGCATTGAGGAAGGGTGTGATATAATCAATTTACATTTGCAAAGTATAACTGACACTGTTGTATGGGGAAAACTCTAGAAGGGGCTACAGGTAAAATGGAGAGATCAGTTAGGAGGCTGTTACAATAAACCAGGCAAAACATGATGGTGGCCTGGATGACGTGGCGGCAGTTGGGGTGAAGAGCAGTGGGACAGATTCAGAATACATTCTAGAGATGGAGCTGAGAGGACTCACTGATGGGCAGTATGTGAGAGGCAGGGGGAAGGAAGGAATCAAGGAAGACTTTTGGACTTTGAGCCCGAGCAACTAAGTGCCCTACAGTGAATGCAGTGAGGAGGACTCACTTTTTTTTTTGTGAGAAAATCCAGAATTCCCTCTTTGGGGCATGTAAAGTATTATATGCCTGTGGTTTTTTTTTGAGGTTAACGCCAAGAGAGCCTGGTTACCCAGATATCAGCTTTCAGACACTCTGGGGATGACGGTTGTGGAGTGAGCCCAGGAATGCTCAGAACAGCGCATCTAGCGGAGACAGCGGAAGTGGGCTCCTGGCGCTGTTCGCGGTGCTGAACCGGTCAGGCCTGGGCTGTCCGTGGTGCTGAATTGCTAGGCGGGCCAGCTGGAGAGGGCTCTAGCTCTCTCTCTCTACCCCTCTGCCTCTCTCTATGCCTCTCTCTCTCTCTGTCTCTCCCCACGCCTGCCCATTTCTTCCTCTTGCCACCCTCACCCTTTATCCCCCTCTTTTTCAAAGAACCCATCTGCCTGTGGAAAGTCCTGCTGTTGCCTGGAAACAAAGCTCTCTGGGCTTTGGGGAGCACGGGATGAAAGCAGATGAGGGTGAAAACAGCAGAATCATTTTTAGGAGGCAGCTTTGGCTCTTAGAACAGCAGGGCCTGATTACAACCTGACTGGAATTACTAACGCAGAGTTTCCAAAGCATCTCTGAGAGGAAAATGTACAAAAAGGAAACAGGGAATCCCTGGGTAGCTCAGCGGTTTAGCGCCTGCCTTTGGCCCAGGGCGCGATCCTGGAGTCCTGAGATCGAGTCCCGTGTCGGGCTCCCGGCATGGAGCCTGCTTCTCCCTCCTCCTGTGTCTCTGCCTCTCTCTCTCTCTCTCTCTCTCTCATAAAGAAATAAATAAATCTTTAAAAAAAAAAAAGGAAAACAAAGAAAAGGTGCCCAGGATTCAGTCTGATGGTTACCTTGGGCTGGGTGGAAACAAGGGAGTGTTATATATAAGTATATGTGAGTTATTGGCAAGAATCTAGTTTTTATGTTGTGAGGTGGGGTCACAAGAAGGATATTATTGTAGATTAATATAAATACAGCATGGTTATATTTTATGCTAACTTGAATTATAAACATTTGAAATCATGAGCATTGGAGGCATTTTTTAAATGAGAAGACTTACCATTTAAAATTCTTTAAAAATTCATACTTTTGAATGTGACCAATTATGTCCATTGTAAACTCTGCTTGTTATTATGCTATCACTTTAGTTAGTACAGATACATGGCAACCACTTTCATTAGAATTAGTCTTAAATTATTTGAGTTTTGAATTGTCCAAGGTCTTCAAGAATGAGTCCCTGGCATAAAATCTAACCACTGTGGGATTAATGACTGAATGAATGAATTTTCCCAAAGATCTGGTCAACAGGGAAGCCATATATGCTTCTATCACTCAAGAGACAGACATTCATGAAGCACCCACTATGTGCTGGCCGTTGCAGGGGACATCCAGGATACCTGAGGCATATCCTCTTCCCCTAAGAGGATGATTTCCACACCTTTTCAAGAGGCAGGAAGGTTTGAGCCTCTGATATGAGCTCTTTGATCAGCTAGAGTCACTGATGTCTGACTCTTACCTACTCTTCTCTCTCTCATGAAGGTGTTGGCATGATGGGTTTTGATATTCCAAATTCTCTAAAGAAGCTGGCGCTCATTACATTATATACATATTTTTCTTACTTAAAGTCTGCCTCACCTTCTAAAATATAGACTCCTGGATAGTAGGGACTGTGTGTTTCTAATTCATCCTTGAGCCTCTAGCCTTTAGAACATTGTTTGACACATACTGGATGTTCTATGAATGGCTTTTTTTAAGGGTTGAATGAATGAAAAGTGATGTTTGTAAACACAAAATATCCCAATATCTCAATTATGGTAACTCATTAAGTTAAAAAGAAGATGAGTGAACTGAACCAACACATCAGTAGGCTCAATGCAGCCTATGGTCTGCCCAGGTGAGTCATCTAAGATCATGGAGTCCTTATTGACCAAAACGCTGCCATGAGGCCATTCATAGGCAGTTGATTTGTTGTTCCCCATTGTGGTCCCGTGGCTGTGGCCCAGAAGACAGGGCTGTAGCATTAAGCAAGGAATCCTGTTTGCAAGGATCATCCCACAAGGGAAAGAATCTACTTATTCTTTTAAACCACCAGAAGTAATTAATCCCACTATGTGGCTGCATTTAATTATGGTGGTCCTTCCCCCAACTAGCAGATATGAAGGTTCTTTCCAGAGAGTGATCATTTGGGAGCCTCAGATCTCTTGGAAAAGACACAAATTCCACTTGTAAACAGCCAGGATTTAACCTAGGGCAATCTGTCACCAAAGATCTTATTTTGCTACTACTGAAAATTTCTCAGTTTATGCTACAGGGGAGCAGGGGAAAAGATGGATGATTGAAGTGAGAGAATTAACCTAGTCACCTAAAACCCTGAAGTAGTCACTTGGGGGGTATGGAGAGAAACAGAAAAATGGCAGAATTGCCAAGTCTGCTTAGAGAAATATGTGCCCTCCTCCATGCTATCAGTTGGGTAATGCTGTTATCCTCATTTTAAAGAACAAAATAGATCTTTGTGGACTGATATGGAAAGATCTTAAAGACACATTACTGCATAGAAAAAAGTCAGTTGCAAAACCAGATGCAGTCTGACATCACTCATAAGAAAACCCACCAACATATAAAACAATGTCAGATATTTTCTATGGATTCATAGATGTGTATATAAAGGTATGCCAAATTTAAACATGACTGGTGTTAAGAAAAGGCACACAAGATTACCAATTATCAAGGTTTCATTTGTTCATTCATGATGAAAAACCAGTAATTTTGTTAAATGACTATCACAGCCAGAAGACATACCTTCAAGTCTCAGCATGGCAGAACTTGGGAATTAAAGTTTTTTTTTTTACCCTGGATTATAGGGTTTCAGGAAGTGTTTTATTATGTGCGGATCAGGACTAGACAGGGAGGCCGGGTTCTATTTGGTTAATCTTAGAGTGCAAACTAATTTCTCTTACTGACTAGGATTTGCCATGAATGTGACAGTTTTGTTTCTACATGTATAGCTTATAAAATAAAAAGTTAAAATCCTAAAATCCAAAGATATTGACAATATAAAGGCATACTTCAATGTCAGAGATGTTAGAATGTTAAAAAAAATTAAAAGTGCATCTTAGCATCAAAGAAATATGATACATAGATATAATTATTACAACTTGTTCAGTAATAATAGTGTATATATCATAGTAAAAGGTTTATATACATTTGGCATTGTAATTATGACATGAGTAATATTAGCCCAGCTTGTTCTATGGATAAGGAAAGTGAGGCTCAGAATCAATGCATTCCTAGATATGCACATAAAAGCTGCATCTATTTCTATGGGTACAGACACATATGTACTTGAGAAGGAAAAGCACCCTCCAGTGCACCCCAAATCTGCAAGTTACTCACCTCTAGAGCAGAGGGCTGGGATTGATGAAATGAGATCAGCAGGAAGTCTTGCTCTATCAGTTTGTTTTGACCTTTAACAAAGAAAATGTTTTTATTTATTAACTGTCCAGAAATGAAATAAAATAATACCATTTAAAAAGGGATTCAGAGAAGGTGAGTCTCCCTCCAACAGATGGAATTTGAATGGTTGCTCACCCCTGATTCTCAACACCTTCTGATAGCTATTCAACTGAGTCACCTGGCTCACACAGCCAGTAAATCGCAGACTTGTGATTCAGACCTGAGAGCCTGGCTCTAAAACCCACCCCTGTCCTGCTCCATGGGGCAGACTATTTTTGGAGTTCTTCAACACCAGGGGAGATCTCTCTCCTCCTCAGTTTCACCCTCAGGATTGCACATTCCCGAGAGGAGCGGGGAACAGGGCATGGCTGACTGTATCTACTGTGTTCAGTCTTGTCCGGGTCTTCACAGCAGTCCTCTTCCCCCAGAGAGGATCCCGGATCCATTCTTGGGAAGCCAATCTGTCTTTTCTTTCCATCTGGGAGAGATGATTAATTGTCACAGGGGACCCTCTCTCAGATGCAGACCACCAGCTAAGGGAAAGAAAGTCCTAGCATTTGATTCCCTTCTTTGCTGGCCCTGTTAGAATCTGAAGAGATGAGAGGTGTGCGTGTATATGCACATGGAAAACAGCTCTTGAAGGCTCCCAAGTAATGGTTGCCAGAAGAGAACCCAGGGTTGGAAGGCAGGGAGAAACTTGCTTTCTTGTCATATATTCTTTTTTTTTTCTTGTCATATATTCTTTTGCCCCTTTGAGATTTGTATCAAATAAGCTCTTCAGTGAATAATGAGAAATAAAGTACAGAAGTAGGTAAATTGTTAAAGGATTAGGATAAATTGAAAAAAAGAATTGAAGGAAATGTCAACATGAGATGTATGGTGGCTTAAAATTATTTTTTAAAGATTTTATTTGTTTATTCATGAGAGACAGAGAGAGAGGCAGAGACACAGGCAGAGGGAAAAGCAGGCTCTCTGCAGGGAGCCGGATGTGGGACTTGATCCCAGGACCCTGGGATCATGACCTGAACCGAAGGCAGATGCTCAACCACTGAGCCATGCAAGCATCCCTTAAAATTACTTTTTAAGTCAGGCTTGGTGCTCGGCATGGAGTCTGCTTAGGACACTCTCTCCCCTGCCTCCCCCCGCCCCCCAACTGCTTGCTTGGTCTCTCTCTAAAAATAAATAAATAAATCTTTTAAAAACCTACTTTTTAACATCAAAATCATGTACCTACATGATGAAAAAAAATCTGAGTGGTAAATACCTAGGAGGCACACTCTTAGTTCCTATGCTACCCTGTAGGCTTATATAATTTCATCATCACTCTTTTGAAAGGAACCATGAGGGTCCCAGTTTCAGATATGATAGGGTAGGGACCTCTGTTCTGTCTCTCTCACTGAAGAATTTCAATAAATCAGCAATCTGCACAGCAGTAGGAGCTAGTGTAAATATTTTAATCACTGATAGCTAGCACCCTTTTGGTGATCTGTAGGACAGGAAAAGGCAGCAGGGTCAGAGACCTCCCATCAACTAGTTACCAACTTCTGCAGAAGCATCTCAAGAGATTAATAACCTGTACAGAAATGGTACTACTTACTATTATGTATATTTGCTAACCAGAGCTCTGCTATAATGTCACCTTCTTAGAGAGATCCTCCCTGACTCCAAAGCTGAAGCAGCCTCCCCTCCTCTCCACCTCATTACCTCTGTTCACACTCAGAAATTAGCGCACTAGTGGCTCCCTAAGACAAGGGGCTTTGGTTTGCTCCCTGCTGGACTCCCAGGTCCTAGAACAGTGTCTGGCACAGAGGAGGTGCTCAGATATTTGCCGATGAATGACTCCCTGCTCACCCTGAAGCTTCTTGTCCCTTGAGATTTCTGCTTATGAGCAGATGTAGGAGATCTAAGTATTTTTCTATATTAGGTATCCACTTTCTTATTTCTTAGATGACCTCTCTCCCGCTGCTAAGGGGGAAAGAAGAGAAAAACATCTCAGGCTCCTTCTTGACTCAATTATCTCCTCCCCTTTTCCACACACTTCCACTCACACCAACCACTCTGTACTACATTAAATTCAGCAGTGAAAAAATGCCAGCTTCACACCTGCCTTCACACCTGCCTCTCCTCCTCCACATCTTCACTAACTCTCACCCTTTCTGTGAAGCAGGTGATCATCTATAAATAAACATCCACATCCTAGTAGGCAGTTCTTTAAAGAGACTTGGGCAAAAGAAAGATTCCTCTGTGGAGACTGAGAAAATTAGGGCCATTCAAGTTTAACATTGGCAAAAGTACAGCCATTGTAGCTTTGGTAGGCATCTCAGGCCACTGTGACCAGGCCACTGTGACCAGGCCACTGTGACCAGGTACTGAACTCTACCTTACCCCGGCTACAGGCAAAATCACAAAGCACGCCTTTATCAGAATAAGGAAGCAAGAGCTTGTGAGACCTCTTTACTGGAGATTCTCACACCCCCACCCTTACTGAAAAACCCCACCTTACCCCTAGACCAGCCCATAAAAACCCAGCTGTAACCCACCTCAGGGTCCAAGTCCCTGCTCTGTTGTGTCGGTATACCTGGACCCAAGCTCAAGCTTGTTAATAAACCCTCGTGTACTTGCATCAGTGTCGGCTCCTTGGTGGTTTTCTCATATTCGCAATCTTGGGCACAACATCCTCCTACGAATGTTCATGCTTTGGGAAGTATCTACAGGGCGAATGAGTGTCCATGATGAAATCCATCGATCTATCCTGGAGTGGTGGTGCTGGTAGGGGTAAGTGGGGGTAGGCAGATGGATATAATTCCCTCCTAATATTTCTCCGTGGTCTTGGGAGACCAATAAACACTAGGGAGGCTTGTCCTGGTAATAGGCATAGAGGAGGGTTGCACTCAAACCTCATATCAGTCTTAGGAGGTGATAATAAAATTATTATAATGATAATGACCACATGGAAGAGAATCTATGTGCCAAGATCTTCTCTAAATGCTTCACTGTACAACTCTGTTTGTCCTTCACAACACCACTCTAAGGTAGATACTATTCCCTACCTCACTGTACAGATGAGGAAACTAAGCTGTACAGAAATTAAGTCACTTTCCCAAGGTTCCTTAACAAGGGAGTGACAAACCCAGAATGTGAATGCACCTGTGCACTGCCTGGAAGCTCTCACCTGGGGCTGCCAGAGGCACCTGTCAGAATAGTCACAAGGCCACACCTAGCTGTAGGGGAGTCTGGGAAACTCAGCTAAAACGTAGGGGGTCTAGCAAACACATTTAAACCTTATTCCATGTAGTTAAGATCCCAAATTTCAGGAGCTCATGGCAACTGCCCATGATGGGTGGGGCAGTAACTAAGACAGGCATTCTAATACATTGGCAGTGGGAGTGACAACAGAGAAATTACTTTGGGAAGGTGTACCAGTTAGCTATTTCAAAATGATACTATCTCCGGGTAAATAGGGTCTCCAACAGCCAGCTAGCTAGTCAGAGAATTGCTTGCTGGTGTGTGTGTGTGTGGGGGGGAAACATGTACTGGAATTGGTGACAGAATCAGAAGATCTAACTTGCAAAATCCTATAGCATCATTTCTGCCATATTCTACTGGTCAAGGCAAGCCACACGTACAGCACAGATTCAAGGAATGGGAAAACAGAGTCCAATTCTTGATAGCAGGTGCTACCAAAAAAAAAAGTGTGTCATTTTTAATATCCAAAAAGAAAAAACTTAAAAAGAAAATGGAAAGGCAGGCAGGGGGCAGAGAAGAGAAACGAACAATGAAAAACAAAACAAAACAAAGTAGAACAAAGCAGTTCTTAGGAAGAGGTAGTGTAGGACCACTCAGGTGCCCCTTGGGCAGTGGGTGGAGCCTCCAGGGCAGGTGAATTCTGCTCTGCCCATCCCTTCTCTGCAAGCTCCAGGATTTTATTAATTTATTTACTTAATTACTTATTTTAAAGATTTTATTTATTTATTCATGAGAGACACACACACACAGAGAGGCAGAGACATAGGCAGAGGGAGAAGCAGGCAGGCTCCATGCAGGGAGTCTGATGTGGGACTTGATCCCGGGACTCCAGGATCACGCTCTGAGCCAAAGGCAGACACTTAACCGCTAAGCCATCCAGGCATCCCTAGCTCCAGCATTTTCTAGCTTAGATCCAAGTAGAGACAAAAACACAACCACACGCTATCTACATCTTGCTGACTCTGTCCTGTGGCCTTTCCCAAATTTATTACACCTAAGCCTTCTCCTCCTTCTCCTCCTGCAGTTAAATGACATTATATGGGTATCGAAAGTCTCTCAGGGGGCCTGGCACATAGTACACACTCAGTAAGTGATGGTGGTAGTATTCTAGATAAACCGTAAGAGGGCACACCTCAGAGATAAATGGTGAAGCTCCAAAGAGTTAATCCATGCTTAGTGCCTAGAACAACAGTCCCTGGCACTTAATAAATACCAAAAAGTAAGTAAGTAAGCAAATAAATAAATAAATAAATAAACACCAAGAAGTGCAGTATTGCTATTGTTACTGTTATAAAATGCAAGAGAAGCTTAGTACATATAATAAAAATAATAAGACTTTAGAGCTGCACTGTTGAATGCAGCAACCAGGAGCCACGTAGAACCATGAAACTTTATATTAATTAAAATACAGTGCAGCTAAAAATCTAGTGCTGCGGCCACACTGGCCACATGTCAAGTGCCCACCTGCAGCTAGGGGCCACCTGCTCCGACAGCGTGGGTAGAGAACATTTCCACCAGCACAGGAAGGTCCTCAGGACAGTGCTGTGCTAGCGGGTCCTCTCGAAGAACTCAGTGGGAATTACTTCGTGTAACCCATAGGGCAACCCTACAAGCTAGGTTTCCCTCCTCACAACCTCCTTACAGGTGAGAAATCCGAGGCTGAGAGGTCCTAGGACACCTGGCTGAGACCTGAACCAGGCGGACCTGGGGCCAGAGACCCTGCTCCTACCCAGTTCTCACCCATCACCTTCTAGTTCTTTCCAGTGTTTTTGAGGCTATCCCCTTCCTTCATTTCTTCATGCCCTCATCTTCCTCGTACCCCTTTTCCCCCCTCCTCCCCTGCTTCTCTACACCTCTCACTCTTCCTCTTTGCTCCTCCCCAGGCCCCTTTTCTGCTGCCCCGCCATCACCTCCTCCCCACTCTGCTACCCATTCCTCCCCGTGCCCCTCCCCTCACTCTTCCTCCTTCCTACCCCACCTCCCCTCCTCTCTGCTTTCCTACAGCTGTCCTCCTACCGGGTCCTTCCTGCTACCCCTTCCTTCCTCATTCTGTCTTCCTATGCTCCCTTCCCTCCTCTCTTCTTTCCCTCCATCCTAAATCCCTTCCTCCCCACTTCAAGTTCTCTGCACCTCCCCTCCTCCCACTCCTCCCTCTAAGGCCCAAGCCCCACCCCGCCTCCCATCCCTATCTTCCCTTCTCCCTCCTCCCTCCATCGAAGCCCCTCCCTCATCCTCTCCCCACTCCTCCATCCAGTCCCCCCACCGCCTCCCCTCTTCTTTCTTCCCCCTCCCCTCCTCCCTCCAAATTCCTCCCCTCCTTCCTCCAAGCCCCTCCCTCCCTTCCTCCATCCAAATCCCTCCCTATTTTCCCTCCTCCCTCCTCCAAGCCCCTCCCCCATCCTCTCCCTCCCCTCCTCCCTCCAAGCTCCTCCCCCGCCCTCCCTCCAAGCTCCTCCCCCAACCCCATCTCCGCCCTCCTCCTCTCCCAGGTCCCCCTGTTGCCCCGGAGGCTTGTGGGAGCGCTGAGGGGGCGTGGTGCCGCGGGGCGTGGGCGGGAGTGGCGAGGCGCGCAGGCGCACACCGAGCGGGACCTACGTGGCCGGAGCTCGGCTGCGGCGGCTACGTGACCACCGGTGAGTGGGTGCCGCCCGCCGGGTTCGATGGTCCTCCAGGCTCTCGTCGTGGGGGGACGACTACGCACCCTGGACCGCCAGAGGGGCGCGGAAGGGGCTGTGAATCCCGCCGCCCCTGCATACCTCACTTTTCCCGCCGGGACAGTGGATCTGCGGATACCCCTGTGCCGGGGCGGCGCGCTGGGCTCCGGCCGCCAGAGCTGCTCTTGTTGTCGCTGTTGTTTAGGTAATAGTAACGGCAGCGCCGCCGCCGGCAGTTTCGGGGCGTCCACTTGCTTCGTGCGGGGGTTAGCGCCCCGCCGAGCGGGGATCATCGCCCCACCGAGCGGGATCCCCCTCCCGCTTTACTGGCGGCGCCCTGCGCTCCACGGGGGTGCAGCCGCCCGGGGAAGACCGGCTCGGATCCGGGGCGGGGCTTCTGGAGCTCCGGGCGGTGCTGGTGCGGACGCTGCGAAACCCCGACAGACCCCGCAGGACCTCGCTGAAGCCTCCGGGAGCCGGTTCCCTCCGCACTAGAACATCCCCGGGTTTGCGGATGTGGAAACTGAGGCACAAGGGGCACCTGGGTGGCTCAGTGGTGGAGTGTCTGCCTTTGGGTCAGGTCGTGATCCCGGGGTCTGAGATCGAGTCCCGCATAGGGCTCCGCGCAGGGAGCCTGCTTCTCCCTCTACCTGATGCTCTCACTTTGATACTAAGAATAGGACAGTAACATCCAGTATTGCTGCTACAGATTAACATGGTACTGGAGGTCCAGGTATCCTCTAAGGAAAGAAGGATTAAGAGAAGTACTGGTAGGGGGGCGTCTGGGTGGCTCAGTGGTTGAGCATTTGCCTTTGGCTGGGATTGTGATCCTGGCGGTGCTAGGATCGAGTCCCACATTAGGCTCCCCGCAGAGAGCCTGCTTCTCTCTCTGCCTATGTCTCTGCTTTTCTCTGTCTCTCATGAATAAATAAATAAAATAAAAAGAAACTGAGGCACAAAAGTGAAAAGAGCCCCCCCACCAGTGGTGGGAGGGTTAGTGCAATTTAATAACCACACTTAGGAAGCCCTACGTGGGTACCAGCTCACAACAGCCCTACAAAGTAGGGGTCTTGGGTCCCGCACCTTCCAGATGAGCAAACAGGTTAAGTGACCCTCCCTGGCACATAGCTAGGGAGCGACAGGCAGGGAGTCCAGCCCAGGCAGCCTGGACCTGCGGTCTGCACTGTGTCAGGACAGTGATCTCCATCCGACATGGGCTGTGCCAGGCCACGCAGTGGAATGAAGCCAGAATGTGGTACAGCTTGTGTTCACTGCTCGTTTCACTATGAGCAGAAAGAGCATTTCAACTTTAAGATGCATTTTTTCACATTTCCCCCCTATTTTATACATTTCCAAAATTAGGGTGTGTCTTACCACTGATGTTATGTTGTGGTTTAATTGGCAGATTTTTTTCCTTAGATAAGGAGTTCTTGAAATACAGTATGTATGTATGTATTTATTTATAGATCTTATTTATTTATTCATGAGAGATAGAAAGGCAGAGATCATGACCTGAGCCACAGGCAAACGCTCAACCACTGAGCCACCCAGGTGCCCCCAAATTCGGTATTTAGTGGCATACCCAAATATACAGTATTGGTGTAGTTACATGTATTAGTGTAATTATGGTATTTAATGTGTGTGTACATATGCACCTTATATAAATGTATATGCAGTAATTAGTATATGCACCTTATTTACAAGTATATATGGTAGTATTTATGCACCTTATATACACGTTTATGTGGTATTTGTTGTATGTTAACCTGTTTATATGCCTATGCATATGGTATTCAGAACAATGATACATGTATAATCAGTTTACATCTATCTTATACATGTGTATATAATGGTTATTGTGCTTGATTACATGCCACATACAGGTATATATGGTATTTGGTACCATAGCACACAGAATAATAAAGTCACATATATAGGTATATGTGGTATTTAGTGTGTGATTGGACTACATATAATGTATATATGCTATTTATTACCTATACTTCTTATATACATGTCATGTATATCAGTTCACATATACCTCATATATGTGCATATATGGGATTTACTGTGTGATTATGTCTCATTGATACCTATAGTAATATTGTCTTTAGAGTATGTGCGCACTTTATATACTTGTAAATATCATATATTTGTGTGTGTGTACCTTATACACCTGTATATTTGGTATTTAGTATTATACATATAGAGTATTATACATATAGAGTATTATACATATACATATATTTTATACACATTTTATACACATTTCATACACAGATACAGTCTCTTTTGTTTCATAATATACCATGTTTTATGCTGTGGTACTTGTGTATCATTTAGAAATAAACACCCAGGGGTGCCTGGGTGGCTCAGTAAGTTAAGTGTCTGCCTTTGGCTCAGGTCATGGTCCTGGGGTCCTGGGATTGAGTCCCTCATCAGGCTCCCTGCTCAGTGGGGAGTCTCCTTCTCCCTCTGCCCCTCCCCCACCAATCTCTCTCCTTTTCTCTCTCTCTCAAATAAATAAATAAAATTTTAAAAAGAAAAGAAAAGAAAGGAAGACCCAGACTTTGCTGCCTGGGCTCAGTTTTTTTTCGTTGTTTTTTTGTTTGTTTGTTTTGTTGTGTTTTACAGATTGGGGTTTGTGATCACAAGAGTTTGAAGAGGGAGTGGGAGCCATATCACGGTCCCTGGTAATGGAAGAGGACCAGTTAAAAATGCAGGTTCTGAGACCCTGTAGCCCCAGAGGACCTAAAAGACCCTGGCCTCCTCCACTTTCGTTTTCCAGAGTTTCTTCTAATTTAAAGCCGATTGCTGTGGAAAATCAGTTTGGTGGTTCTTTGATAAGTCGAACCCAGAATTTCCACATGACCCAGCGATTCCACTCAGGTATACACCCCAGTGAACTGAAAACAAGGACTGAAATAAACACCTGACCATGCATATTCACAGCAGCATTACTCCCAATGGCCAAACGGGGGAAACAACCCAAGTGTCCACCAGCAGATGAATGGATAGCAGTCTGTTCACACAGTGATAAACTTTATGTTATGTGTATTTGAGCAGAATAAAGCAGGGAGGCTTCTTGTAGACCAAATCCTACGCAGAGTCCTGGGATAGAGGCTAACAACAGGAATCTGTTTAGTGGGGTAGGGGGATGTTATATATGCAGATGGTGGTAATAAAATAAAATTAAAACAGGGGTTCCTGGCTGGCTCAGCCAGTAGAGCATGCGACTCTTGGTTGTTGTTCAGTGCCCATGTTGGGTGTAGAGATTACTTAAAAAATATATATTTTTAAAAAATTAAAACATTTCTATATTCTTATCACATGGCACATGAGATTTTAAGGGATTTACTTATACTCACCTGCTGAAATCTTGTAACGACCCTGTGAAATGGGTACCTTATCCTCAGTTTCCAGATGACAGAACTGAGGCACAGAGAAGTTAAGTCACTTGCCCAAAGATACACAGTGGGTAAGTGGCAGAGCTGAGATCTGAACCAGGTATCTGGCTCCAGTAGTCTCACAATTCAGCCCAGGGTGACAAATGTCAAAGGAGTTGTGTAGAAAGTCTGGGTTCTCTCCAGAGCCCCACAAGCTGGGTCAGAGATGGTGGGGATGCCTGGGCAGAGTGGGGCTGGTCTGATCCTGCCTGGGAGAGATATCTCCACTGTCCACTTCTGCCACTCTGCCAATGTCTGGGTAGTGTGAGCCCACATACTGTGGCTGCTGTGTCTGTGTGCTTCTGGGGATGGGAGGGTGTACACGTGGGTGTGTATGTGCACTTCCCAGAGGCAGAGCAAGGCTTGGTCCCTTACTGTCCTTCTCTTTCTCTCTCTGGCTCCACCTCATCCCATCAGCCCCCAGACTCAGCCACCAGGCCCCCATCACCTTGGACAGTGAAGGAATGGCCACCCAGCTGCTGGCTGATGAGGCCCTGGTGAGTAGTGACGTCCCCTTGCCCTCCTCATGGATGCTCAGGCTGGGTGGCCAGAGAGTTAAATGAGCCCCTGGCTGCCTGAGTCCCCTCCAGGGCCCATCTCTCCATCACTTGGGGAGGGCAGCCACAAGTATGATTTTATGTTGAATCCGTGTGTCCTCATAAAGAATCCTCAAAAAAAAAAAAAAATTAAAAAAAAAGAATCCTCAAACCCAGGAATGGCCTCAGGGACTCTAACCCAGCCTCAAACTCCAGCCCTGTAATAATAATAGTCATCATCATCTCAGCTGATGTTTTTTGAGTACCTACTATGTGCCCTGTGCTGTGCTGGTATGTAGACAGTCTTCCCTGGGATGACCCACTGAAGCCAGCTCCCTGGATGGACCAGATGACTTTGTGGTTGCAGGGCCTAGTGGCCTTCAAAGATGTGGCTGTGGACTTCACCCAGGAGGAGTGGCAGCAGCTGGAGCCAACTCAGAGAGATCTGTACCGTGATGTCATGCTGGAGAACTTCCAGAACCTGAGCTCACTGGGTAAGACCAACCATTCTGGGGAGGGCCCTCTTCCTGGCTCAGGGCCAGTACCTTCTCCATGTGTCCTGCATGGAGGCAAGGTCAAGGGACCTTTCTGGGGTCCCTTTTATGAAGGCACTAATCTCATCTAGGAGGGCTCTGCCTACCTTCTCATCTCATCATCTGGGGGTTAGGATTTCACCATATGAATGGGGGGAGGAGACATGCAGTCCACAGTGGGTCTACCAGGCCTTACCCTAGGACTCTTGGGAAGTGCTTGAGGGGGCTTCTGTTTGCTTTTCCAGCTCCCCACCCCCAGCTCTCCCAACTCTGGGAGCAGCCTACATGGATGACTTTTGTGTTTTGGGTCTCTTTCAGATTTGGAATCCTGGCCTGACAGGGACGTCCCAGAGGCAGCCGTGCCTGCAGGAGAGCCTCCTGGGTTGGCCCTGGCCGAGATGGGAGAGGCCGAGGGGGCGGCAGGAAGGGCCACTACAGAACAGCCCCGAGAATCCCAGCCGGGAATTTCAGAAGGGGGTGCCTCCCGCAGTGGCGACCAGTGGCCCCTGGACTGGGAGGGTCCCTGCGGAGCCCCTGGCGGTGCGGAGCCCTGTGTGTGCAGCCAGTGCAGGGAGACCATCGTGCAGCGGGCCGACCTGGCACAGCACCAGCACATGCACGCCCGAACAAGCCATTTGCGTGCAGCCAGTGCAGGAGGCGCTTCGGCGGGAATGCCAGGCTCAGCGTGCACCCACACATGCACTTGGGGGAGAAGCCATTTACATGCGCTGAGTGTGGCAAGGCCTTTAGCCAGCATGCCAACTTCACAGTGCACCGGTGCATCCACACGGGCAAGCGCCCCTACCACTACGCCCAGTGTGGCTGGGCCTTCATGCAGAACATGCAGCTGGTCCAGTGCACACACACCAAGTGGCCCTAGAGGGGTGGCGACTGCAGCAGGGTCTTCAGCTCTGTCACCAGCCTGGTGGACCACCAGCATATCCACACTGGGGAGAAGCCCTTGGCGTGCGATGTGTGTGACAAGCACTTCAGCAAAAGCTCGTCCCTGCTCGGGCACGAGCGGGCCCCCATGGGCGCCCAGCCCCATGCATGCCAGGTGTGTGGGAAGGCCTTCCGAAAGAAATCCGACCTGGTCAACCACCACCGCACGCACGCTGGCAAGGGTCCTTCAAGTGAACGCAGCAAGGCATTCACACAGAGCATGACCCTGGTGGAGCACCAAAAGACACGCACCAGTGAGCGCGCGTACCTGTGCCCACAGCGTGGGAAGCGTTTCAGCAAGCCCTGTGTGCTGATCCTGCACAAGAGGATCCACAGCAGCAAGAGACCCTTCCGCTGCGCCGACTGTGGCAAGGCCTTCAGCCAGAACGTGCAGCTCGTGGTGCACCAGCGCAGCCACATGGGCAAGCTGCCATTCCGGAGCAGTGCCTGTGGTAAGGCCTACAGCCAAAAGGACTACTTTACAGTGCACCGGTGGATGTACACCGGAGAGAGGCCCTTTCGCTGCCAGGACTGCAGCAAGGCCTTCAGCCAGAAGGCGCACCTATCCACCTGCAGATCCACACAGGTGAGGAGCCCTACCGCTGCATTGAGTACAGGCGCAGCTTCTGGAGGGTGTACTTCCTTTTCCAGCATCAAGTCATCCACAGTGATGAGAGGCCCTTCCATTGTGGCATGTGCGGCAAGGCCTTTATGCGCAAGGCCACGCTGGTGCAGCATGGCCGCATCCACGCCAGCGACAAGCCCTATTTGTGCGGCAGTGCAGCAAGGCCTTCCAGCACCAGCCCATGCTGGCAGCGCACCGGAGAATCCACACCAGGCCTGCAGCAAGACCTTTGGGCACATCACGAACTTCACGTGCCACCAGAAGACCCATGTGGCCGGGCAGCTGGGGAGAAGGCCTTCCCCTCAGGTACCCAACAGCTGAGTCCGGGTGATAGGCCTCATTGCCAAGTGCCAGCCTTCTTTCTCTTTAGACTTGACTTAGGGATCCTAAGGGATGCCTCTGAGGCTGATGCCACATTCCTGAGAACCTGGCGAGGATACGTGACAGCAGGGCCTGCCTTATGGGTGCATAACCCATGCAACCACATAGGATGACCATGTGTTTCATGCTGTGCTGTCACCACCTTGAATTGGCTAATCCAAGGGAAGAGATCAGACCAGGAGTTGAGAAGCCACAACCCACAGAGCCAGAAGACCTGCCTTTGCATGACCTACAAGGCAAGAATGGATTTTACCTTTTGGAACGGTTGTTAAGATCAAATGAAAAGAGCATGAGACAGAGAGCTCCTCTGGCCCACAAAGGGTAAAATATTGACCATTGAGGCCTTCACAGAAATTTTACCAACCACTGGACATCAACCAAGAGTAACCTGTAGGAACTCTGAACTCTCTTTCACCATACTATGGCAGGGTCCCTGCTTGGTCTCACTGTCTCCTTCCCTGGTCCTCTCTGGGTGGGCTCCTCCACATCAAGTGGCGGGATTCTGAGATGGGATGGCTTCGCTTCTTTCATCTCTATGCCCTCCTGTGGGCCAGACCAGCTGCTGCCATTGGTCCTGATTCCCACCAGTTGTCTGTGTACCTGGCACTTAATCGAGAATAGAATAAATGTGATTCTCTGTTCAGTGGCTGCTTGTGTGCAGCAGGACCTGTGTGTCTCATGCAAGGAAAGTTTGCCCAATGGGAGCTTTTTGTAGATCCCTGTGTTCGCTGTACTGGTTTGCTCTCACTGCTCTGGCAAAACACCACAGACCGAGGGACTTAACCAACAGCAATCTGTTCTCCTACAGCTCTGGAATTCTGAGATCGAGGTATCCACAGGGTTGGTTTCTCCTGAGGCTTCTCTCCTTGGCTTATAGATGGCAGCCCTCCCAGTGCTGCTTTGCATGGTGGGGTCCCTCCGTGCCCAAGTGAGCCCTTGGTGCTTTCTCTCCTTATGAGGACACCAGCCATAGGATTAAGGTCCACACACATGACCTCATTTAACCACAATGATCCCTTTAAAGCCCTATCTCCAAATACAGTCGCATTTTGAAGTTCCTGGGTATTAGGATTTCAACATAAAATTATGGGGGAGGGGGGGTGGACATATTCAATCTATGACATCCCCAAATGGCTAGAAATTTGACATTTTGTATGATAACTACTGTCTACATGGTAGTGGCAAGCATTAACTGAGCACCCACCTGTGCCTTGTTTGTGTGGCAGGGAGGGCCAGCAACCCTTTACTTCATGTAAAGTTGGTCTGGGGACACAGCAGTCCTGTCAGAGACCGAATTTCCCCACCACATCTGGGGGTGGGGGGACAAGGGCTACCCCTCACCTGTAGAGAGAGAGGGATGTGTTCAGAAATGGCCAAGCCTTTGCCACTTGCCCTTCCCTTCACCATCCTCTGGATCCCCACCCCCCTCCAGGAGCGGCACCACAAGCCCCCATAAATCTGTTCTCCTCCAAATTGACCTTGAGGAATAAGGTCCCAGGTCTGTGACCTTGCCCATCGCCTCCACCCTGAGTGGGAGGTGAGGCTCCTTTCATCCATATTTTAATAGACAAGGAGGCCCCAAGGGAGCTCAGCCATCACCACCTCATATGTGTGGGGATGCAACAGAACCCACGATCTGCCGACCCTGCAGCCAACCTGCTCACACTGCCAGCCACACTACACAGGCTACTGGCCAGGGGTCTAGTCTGCTTCTCCCCCAACACGTGGTTTGTGTGGCCTGTCCAGTTCTGACCCCCTGAGCCTGTTTCCTCCATCGGAACAGTCTGATGTGAGATAATAACAGTCTGGTTACCAGTTCTTTCTTAATAAATATTTTATTAATGATAATAATAGAACACTATTGGGATGCCTGGGTGGCTCAGTGGTTGAACGTCTGCCTTTGGCTCAGGTCGTGATCCTGGGGTCCTGGGATCGAGTCCTGCAGCAGCCTCCCTGCAGGGAGCCTGCTTCTTCTGCCTATGTCTCTGCCTCTCTGTGTCTCTCATAAATAAATAAATAAAATCTAAAAAAAATAATAATAGAGCACCATATTTACTATTTACTGTTGACAAAATAGAGTATAATATCAATAATAAAATATTAAGGTAAAAAAAATAAAATATTAAGGTTGTGGGTGAGGTATATACTGGATAATGCACATGTGTAACTCATAGCACTTTATGTTTGCATGAATTCCATCCAGGGCATTGGGGTTTGTGATGGGTTGAGTGGGTGTAGTGATTAGTCTGTGAATCATGAGAGAGGTCTGTCTTTCCAAAGATTCCAAGAGATTCCTGGCTTTGCCTGGGAAGGCTCACCACTGCCTCCCTAGGTTTCTGCAGGACCAGCCTCCTTTTCCGCTGTCTCTGAGGCTGTCAGTGGGGGCCCAGCCTTCTGGTCTGACCATTGCCAGACCAGGAATCCAAGGCTGTGAGGGGGAACTGGCTGACCCAGGAGACCCCTCCCTCATATTCTGGGGCAGGTGTGTTGGGTCCCTGAGGTTCGGTGGGGCAGTGTGTAGGCAGGTAGAGCAGAAGGGCCATCTCCCATAGGCCACCAGGTGGCCTTGTCCAGCCACCCCTGCTGAGGCTGACGGAGCCTGGAGGGACTGCCCTCTCAGAGCTAGCTAATTCCTAGAGACAGGAAACAACTCATCTCTAAATATGCTTTTCAAATGCCAAGCCCTCCAGAGCCGACATCCCAAGAACCTTCCCTGAGAGGCTCTCACACTCCAGCCTCTGTTGGCCTGCCCTCAGCCCTCCAGGGCAGGTGCCAGACAACTCTGGCAGCCCCCATGCGCCCCACAGACCCTCAACCCACTCACCCTTCCTCTCTCCACCACACCTTATTCCTTTCTGTGGGCCGAAGTGACACAAGCCACATCCAGGTCTCCGGGGACTGTGTTAGGTCTGGAGCGGAATGTGCTCGGGAAGACCTGCTTGCTTATTCCTAATGCAGCTGGCTAGCATTTATGGAGTGCTATCCTTGACTCATTCGTCCAGCAAACAAGTTCCAAGAGCCTGCTGTGTACTAGGCACTGTTCTAAGTCCCGGGGAGACAAGTGAGCAAGACTGAATTGACCACACCCACAGCTCTGCCATCCCTCTAGTGGAGAAGACGGATGACAAATTAGTGGTAAGACAGGCTGTGGTCTGTCCCATGGAGGACTATGAGGCAGGGGCCGAAGCTAGTTTCAGAGGGAAATGAGGAAGATAATGTTTAAGGAGGGACCTTTGTCATTCAGGGCTCTCCAGAAAAGCCATATTTCATTAGACGTGTATGTCTTATTATATATATCTCATATATCATGTATTTTATTATATATCATATGCTATCATATAGCTCATTGTATATATCATATATATACCCCAAATTATTTTACATATAGTGTACATGTATTACCTAAAATATATAATGGATGTTGCATTATATAATAATTATATAATTTATTGTATAATTATGATACAATGTATGTGTTATGTATGTATATTATATATATTATGTGTTATTTTATATTTAAGTACACATATATACATATATAGAGAGAGTAGAAAAGCACCCCATTTTTCCTGAACACCAGATGTGTGGGGCTTCCCTCACCCCATCCAGCTCTCAGACATCAGCTGGATGTCCTACAGTTCACCTCAACTGGAGGTAGCATTGATTCCACAGGTCGAGGACTCACCAGTTGAGGACCCAGTCCTATGGGACAGTCCCCCCACCCTGCGCACCATTTCAGATGCCACTCACAAGTCCAGACTGTCACACTGTCACCTGTCCCTCCGAGTGACTGGCCACCTATCAGAGGTTCCCAGTCTCCATCCTTGGGTTTAATTTGTTAGTGGGGCTCACAGAACTCAGACACATTTTTCTCACTAGGTTACTGGTTTATTATAAAAGGATCCGATAGAGGACACAGCGGAACAGCCAGACGAGGAGGTACACAGGGCGAGGTCTGGAAAGGTCGCTGAGGGCAGGAACTTCTGTCTCTGTGGAGCCGGTGTTCACTGGAAAGTTCGCCGAGGGCAGGAGCTTCTGTCTCTGTGGAGCTGGTGTTCATCAGCTGGAAGCTCTCTGAATACTGTGCTTTCTGGGATTTTATGGAGGCTTCCTCACCTGGGCACAGTCAATCATTGAATTCATTTCCAGCCCTCTCCCCTTGCTAGAGAAGATATGGGTGGGAAGCTGAGAATCCCAAGCTTCAAATCACGGCTTGGTCTCCGGTGACCAGCCCGCCCAGTCACCTCATCAGAGCAGAAGACACTGCTATCACCCAGGAAATTCCAAGTGATGGAGGAGCTCTGGGCCAGGAACCGGGGGCAGAAATGAATATATTTAACATGTTCCTGTTATCTTTCAAGGAGATCCAAACCATTCCATCTACAACAGTTTTCTGCAGCGTACATACACCATCTCATTTATTCCCCACAACCAATGCATAAGGCAAGGACTAGTATCACCTCCATTTTACAAATGAGGAAACGGGTTCAGAGAGGTGAAGAAACTTGCCCAGAGTCACACAACAGAAGTAAAGTCTGGATTTAAATCCAGGCAGTCTGACTTCAGGGCTTCTGTTCATGTTGGCTCCATTATTCCACTCCTTTTCCATCATTTATTGAGTGAGGGCCTCGTTTCTCATCGAGTGGTGGCAATGACAGCAGGTACTTGCTAGGAGTATGGAGTACCATGTGCCAGGTTCCATTCTACATTTTCACGAGTACTAACTCATTCCGATGACTCTAGACATTTACACAACAAGATGAAAATACTATATGTCTTCCTCTAGGGCATCTGGTGAAGGCTGGTAAGCATGGGGCAGCCTGCAGTGGGGTCGGGGCAAAGGCTCAGGGTGATGCAGCCCCACATGCCACCCCTGGCACCCCTCACATCCACGCTGTGCGATCTCACTCGAGCCTCTGAGCCTCCCTGAGCCTCAGCTTCCCCATCTGCGCACTAGATGATGTGGCGAGAACACCAGTGTTTGTGACAAGTCTGGAGCACGTGCCATGTGCTCAACAAATGTCAACTATAGTGACAAGGTGCTGCCACCACTGCCTTATGGGGAATGGTGTTGAACTCAGATCCCCTCTTCTGGGCCATTCCGGGGGAGGGAAATCTCATTCCACCTCACTAAAAATCCCCTGGTGTCCTGGGATTTGTGTCAGATGTCCACTCCTGGGCAGACTTGCTGACTGCCCAGTGTGCCCCCGCCTCAGGCCTTAGCTGGCTCCCGGTTCTCCTGCTGCCCTGTTCTCCACCGTGGCCTAACTCCGTGTCTCATGCTTCTCTGGCCCACTCACTGCTGCCTGGCACCACCAGAATGTAAGCTCAGCACTTGGGGAGCGCATCCCTGTTGGTGCTGCACCCCCATCCTCGGCTCCAGGCAACTGTGCCCAGGTGCACCGGGACTGCTGTAGAGCGAGGGGCCGCCAGGCCCCGTCCCAGACCTGTTTCCGATATCCTGTCCCACTTTCTGGGACCAGGTGGCCATGTGTGAAATGGGAGCTGGCACTCCTCACTTCACCCCTCCACTCTCTGCCCTGTGCCTTTCACGAGTGCACTGTGCAGGACAAGGGAACCTGAAGAGACAGCCTCATCCCACCAGGACGAAGATGCCAGGAGCTGGCGGAACCGGGATGATGCAGGGGACGCACAGGGGCCTGGAGACAGTGGCTGCTGGTCTCTCAGGTCCCAGATGGGCCAGAGGCAACAAGCTTCCCGTGCCGCTTCCTGACCACACTGACTTGGGTCTGCCAGAGTGGCTGGTCTTGGCTGCCTCCTCTGGGACCTGCAGCAGATGCCCCCCAGCCTGCACACGGATCTGAGGGGAGCCAGCTGCCAGTGGAATCCCAGCAGGCGCCACGTGGGCCACTTCTGCTGCAGGTCCTAAGGCACCAGACTTGCCTCTTCTGGGCGCTGTCCCTGGGGCCACTGGCTGTGGCACGCATGCACCTGCAACCCAGCTCTGACCAGCCCTGGATGGGGGTGGGGGGCCCAAAATGTCTGTTTTCTTTGTTCGAGAACAAGAGGGAGGAAGCAGGAGACACAGAAACAGAAGGCCAATAGGATGGTGGGCTTTGTTCTCAAAGGTTGGGTCCACTTGTGAGGTAGTAGGACTTCCACTGGAACAAGAACCCCCCGTTGAAACGCTCACTGCCCCATTTCAGGCTGAGGCGCCCGTGGAGGGGGGAAACTTGCTCAGGCTCACACGGCCGGACTTGCGGTCCTTCCCAGCCACCTTCCACACTGGTCAGGGCTCACCACAAAGGCCTCTGCACGTGCAGTTGCAGATTTCATCCCCCACCAACCCCCGTCTCTCCCAGCGCCCCCCACCCACTGGCCTGAGCGATAGTTCGTGCAGATGACGGGAAGGGATGTGTGGGGACAGAGGTGTACCAGGCACGTTGAGACAAGCAGGCATGAAGCTGCAACTCTTAGCTCCTGGGGGCGCCCCTGGCCAGCCCCCTGCCACAGAGGGGACTGAGGGCTCTCCTGGTGACCATGGCAGTGACAGCACTTCCCAAAGGAAATGCCACATGCAGCAAGACTTCAGTCTGATGATTAAGGCCAGAGCAGCCATACGATTTTAAGCCCGTTCACTTGATGCCACAGGGCCACCTCCCTGGATCCTCCCTCCTTCCCCTGGACTGGGATCTGGATGGAATGACCAGATGGGAATGTCAAGGCATGAACAGCTTCAGCCTGGGGCCACTGCCACTATTTCAAGAATAAGGGAGAGACCCAGATGTAGGCCCTTCCACACTCAGCACTTCTCAGGTCACGGCAATCAGCTGGCGGGTAAGTCCACAGAATGAAGCTTTGGGTTCTTGTGCCACTGACTGCAAGAGGTCTGTCTCCACGTGGACATGACCACGAAATGAAGAGGGAAGCCAGCCTGAGGATGAGGCCGGCACAGGAAGGGAAAGCCAGAGAACCAGAGCACCAGAGCTGTGTTCCCGATGCTATGTCTAGAACAGACCTAGCCTGATGCCCACCTGGCTGCCAGACATCCGAAAGCCCGTCTGCCTGGTCATGCACTCCCGGGTAGTTGTGTTTCCTACTCACAACATGAAGTGCTCAATAATATAAATGATTTCTTAAAATGAGCTGTCCATTCTGTGGGCACCAGTGTCCAGATGCATGGGACATTCGGAAACACCAGGACACTGGCGACAAGTAGCATCAAATGTTAAACAGGAAGGGCAGCGTCAGGGATCCCTGGGTGGTGCAGCGGTTTAGCGCCTGCCTTTGGCCCAGGGCGCGATCCTGGAGACCCGGGATCGAATCCCACGTCGGGCTCCCAGCGCATGGAGCCTGCTTCTCCCTCTGCCTATGTCTCTGCCTCTCTCTCTCTCTCTCTGTGTGTGACTATCATAAATAAATAAATATATGAATGAATAAATAAATAAATAAATAAAAGGAAGGGCAGTGTCAGAGGCCCTCAATGTACACAGTGTCAGGTCAGCCTTAGAAGGCTCACTTGGAGCTGTCTTCAAGTATAGCTACAAAGGGACGCTTGGGTGGCTCAGTGGTTGAGCATCTGCCTTTGGCTCAGGTCAGTATCTCAGGGTCCTGGGATCGAGTCCCACATTGGGCTCCCTACAGGGAGCCTGCTTCTCCCTCTGCCTTTGTTTCTGCCTTTCTCTGTGTCTCTCGTGAATAAATAAAATCTTTTTTAAAAATTTAGCTCCAAAAATCAGTATAAAAATGGACAGTGTGTCCTCAGATACACACACTCAACCTAGTAAGTATTTAAATCTGAATATCAGGCCTGCTGGTGTTCGCCTGCCCTCCCACCTCCCGCAGGCACTGAGGTGGATTTTGACAGGACCACTGGGCCTGTATCTTCTGCACCTGACAACAGTCTAAAATTACACTGGTGTCTCTTAATTAAAAGTTTTATTTAAAAAAAATTTAACAGACTCTGAGAAACTTCGGCATCTGCAGTGCTTACTGTTATCTGCTGACTCTGAAAACCACCTTCCCCCTTCTCCCTGCCCCGCTTACAGCCTGCCAGAGTCTTAGGCTTTGTGGCCTGGGGATGGCTGGACAGAGAGGGGGATGGCCGGATGCGGGAGGGGGGATGGCCAGAGAGAGGGCCCCTCTGGCTTCCACCCCAGCGGGGAACCACAGGGGGTGACCACCTGACATCTGGACTAAAGCTAGGGTCCAGAAATGTCCCCATGTTCACATCTTGAATCCATCTCCCTGCCAGCCCCATCTTGCACTTTACAACTGACTGTTGCCCCAAAGACACTGGATGCCTCATCCCAGGTCCTGCTGCTCACTGACACGTCCTGGAACCCTGATGCCCAGGTTCCTGGCACTCCTGGAAGCTTCAGCCACATTGACCCTGACTATGGTCCCCAGGGCATCAGATGAAGAGAAATGTGCAGGTGCCTCGTAGGGAGACACCCCTCTGGCCCATGCTACCCTGGGCAACCACGTCAGAGCTGTCGCACTGACGGCAGGCATGAGGGATCCACCCACAGGATCCACCCACAGGCTGCAGGAAAGCCCCCACACAAGAAGACCCCCAGCCTAGGCCTCCCCTATGTGTGGATCCTCAGATGGCGTGTGAGGTTGGTGTTCCGGCTGAAGGTTTTCCCACACTCGCCACACTTGTAGGGCTTCTCCCCTGTGTGAGTTCTCTGGTGCACGGTGAGCGAGGAGTTCTTGATGAAGGCCTTCCCACACTGGCCGCACTTGTAGGGCTTCTCGCCAGTGTGGATGCGCTGGTGCTCGATGAGGTATGCGCTCTGACTGAAGGCCTTGCCGCACTCGCCACAGGCGTACGGCTTCTCACCCGTGTGCCCCATCTGGTGCACAAGGAGGGACGAGCGGCCCGTGAAGTGCTTCTTGCAGATGTAGCACTCGTAGGGCTTCTCTCCGGTGTGGATGCGCTGGTGCTGGGTGAGGGACGAGTTCTTGCTGAAGGCCTTGCCGCATGCATTACACTCGAAGGGCTTCACACCAATGTGGAAGCGCTGGTGCTGGATGAGGTAGGAACTCTGACTGAAGGCCTTGCCACACTCACCACATGCATATGGCTTCTCGCCCGTGTGGTTTCTGTGGTGCAGCGTGAGGGATGAGCTCTTGTTAAATGCTTTGCCACACTCCTTGCAAGCGTATGGCTTCTCGCCCGTGTGTGTCCTCTGGTGCTCGGTCAGATGCATGTTCTGGCTGAAGGCACGGCCACACACATCGCACACATATGGCTTTTCCCCCGTGTGTGTCCGCTGGTGCACGATGAGGTGCATGTTCTGGCTGAAGGCCTTGCCGCAGTCCCCACAGGCGTATGGCTTCTCACCTGTGTGCACCCGCTCGTGCTGTGCCAGGGATGAGGTCTTGCGGAAGGCCTTCCTGCACACGTCGCACACATATGGCTTCTCACCCGTGTGCGTGCGCTGGTGCACAATCAGGTTCATGCGCTGGCTGAAGGCCTTGCCGCAGTCCCCACATGCATATGGCTTCTCTCCAGTGTGCACGCGCTGGTGGATGGTGAGGGACGACCGCTCAATGAAGTGCTTCCCGCACACGTCACACTCATAGGGCTTCTCGCCGGTGTGGATCCGCTGGTGCTTCATGAGGGACGAGCTGCGGCTGAAAGCCTTACCACATGCGCTGCAATCATAAGACTTCTTCTCCACGTCTCGTCTGAACGGCTGGCTGAGATCCAGGTTACCCGAGAAGGCCTCCTCGTGCAGGACAAACGGCGGGGAGCCCTCTTCCCTCAGTGGGGCCGTGCGGGTGCTCCGCGGCGCCAATGCCTTACATTCCTCATGCTCCAGCCAGGTCCGCACTTCTCCCTGCTGCCTCTCCCCCAGGTCCCGCATCCACATGACTTCATATGCCATGCTGCGGGCACCATGCCTTGCAGGGCCTTCCCCAAGCACCCCAACAGGCGAGCGGTGTTCCACGTTGTCCTCTGTTGGCCCCGATTGCTTCATTTCCACTCTAGTCTCCAAGTCTGGGGGAGGAGAAGGAGAAGGGAAAGGCAGGTGGTTATCAATGCTGGGCCTGAGGGATGGAGCAGGATGGGAACAGAGACACAGCAGGGCAGGAATGGAGATACCAGCAGGTGACCTGGTCAGAGGGGAAGCAACGAGCTGGCCACAAAGGCGGTTTAAGGAGGCTGAGGGAGCAGGAAGTGTCCCCTCAAGAGGGCGAGAGGGCAGTGAAGGACAGCCAGCAGGCAGCCAGCAGGCAGGAGCTCCCATGGAGGGATGGCTGAAGAGAAACAACGGGTGGTGAGCTGGCTTGGATGGGGCAGACCAGATGCTCTTGCTGACCCCAGCAAGAAGTTACCACAATGGGTTCCTCCTGAACATCCCCAACCTCTTGAGCTTCCCAAAGCATCAATTTTTCTTAGAAATGGTGAGAGGACAGCTGACATTCATGTGGCACATGCTGCCGACCTTCTGGCTCCCCTCCTGCCCCCCTCCTGCCAGCCAAGCTCGCTCCCCCTCCTCCGCTGCCTGGTTCGGAAGTGGCAGGTGTCCCCGGAAGCTGGTTCCAGGCCCCTCTGCCTCTGCAGACTCCTCCCTCCTTGGCGCTCACAGCCATGCGGCAGCTCCAACCCTGCCTATGTATAGCCTATTCATTTCTAAATCTCTGTTTCCAGTCTAGGGAAACTCTCCTGAGTTCTGGACTCCGTGTGTGGATCAACAGCTTCATGTAAAACCCATGAGATCTATGGGGCACCTGGGTGGCTCAGCAATTGAGTGTCTGCCTTTGGCTCAGGGCCTGATCCCAGGGTTCTGGGATCGAGTCCCACATCATCCTGCTTCTCCCTCTGCCTATGTCTCTGCCTCTCTCTCTGTGTCTCTCATAAATAAATATATTAAAAAATCTTTTTGAAAAAGTAAGAAATAAAAATGTAAAGATAGGGCCACATGGAGTGCTTCTTCCAAGGAGGCCACAGGAAGCAGGTATAGACTGGCATCTGCTCCTGCTGGCCCATTTAAAACCCCAGCCTAGTCCAGCACCACTGATCTCTGAGGCCTCTCTCCTAAATCATGCAGGGCCATGCCAGGGGCGGTGGGGGTAGGGTAGGGCAGAGGGAGTCTGGACCTCCAGCCCTGACCTCCTCTAGGCTCTGCTGACAAACATTCAAAAGTCTACCTGGTGACCCTCTGGGATCCTGCAGGCCTGTTCTGCACGTCTGAGATGGAACCTGTGGGTTTGGAACCCCCGCCCCTCCAAAATCAACAGCAAAGAGACTTAGCAAAGTCAATGAGACACAGAAGGATTGATAGTGTATGAAGTTCTTGTCATTATCACATTCAGAGAGAGAGAGAGAGAGAGAGAGAGAGAGAGAGAGAGAGAGATATCGTGGCGCCAGGGGCTGGGGGAGGGCATGGGGGGATGGCCTTTCATGGCAACAGAGTCTGAGTTTTGCGAGATGAAAATACTTCTGTTAGTGGATGGTGGGGGCTGCGCATCAGTATGAATGTACTCAGTACCACTGAACTGTACACCTAAAAATGGTTAAAATGGTAAATTTTATGTATTACCTTACCACTTAAAAAATTAAGGTAAAAAAAAAAAAAAGACTCAGCAGGCATCCCTGATTCACCCCCTTTCTCCTGCCATCCAGAATGCTAACAAGAGTCACTGGACCAGATCTCGCCATCACCCCTGCCAACAATCCTGTCAGCCACCCCAGATTTCCTGCCTGTAACAAAGCAAACCCGGCACCCTCACCCTGCTACAATGCATTTTCCACTGAGCAGCAAGAGGGTCTTCTTAAGAGTCAGACCAAACCCTCCAGCGTCCTCCCCATGTGCTGCTGAGAGTCAAAGCCAACACCTTCCCTGGCCTGCAGGGTCCTTAGGACGGAGCCAGGACCCATCTCCTAACCTGCCTCCCATCATCCATCCCTGCTCACTTGCTGTCAGCCACACTTGCCCTGAGGTTCCCTTTTTATTCCCTGCAACATTGTCCACACCAAGTTCTTCCTGCCTTGGGGCCTTTGCACCTGCCACGGCCCCATCCAGCTTCCCGCTGATGCTCGTTCTTCAGCACCTCTCTGTTAACATCCTCCACGGGCAGGCCTTCCCCATCCATCCCACGGTGAGAAGGCATACCCCTCCTGCTCATCTCTTGCCTGTTTCACTGTGAGCACTCATTGTAGTCTATGGTGACTCTCTCTATCCTTGGCTCTGTTTATTGCCAGGCTCCCTGTGGAAAGTGAGCTCCGTGAGGGCACCTTATCCAGGCCCTGCTCCTACAGCAGTGCCTGGCACACGGACGCTGTCAGATGAACACGCAATGGGTGCCTGCCACATGCCTGGCGTGGCGCTGAGCGATCTGCACGGTCCCTCCATGTAGCCCTGACAATCACACGCAAGTCACGTACTCTTACGATTGTGCGCATTTTACAGATGAGGGAACGGAGGGTCCAAGAAGCAAGTCACAAACTCAAGGTCACGGCACATTCGAGGCGGAGCTGGGATTCTCGCGGTCGGATCCCAGAGCCATGGGCCCTGATGACTCACTGCTTTGCCGTGGGTTGCTTTCCTATCACAGAGGAAGAGATATTAGAGATACTCAAGGCAGGAGAATGATGGTGGCTTAGTCACCTGGGGCATGATGCTCAGATGTCAGGGCAGATGGCATGGGACATGAAGGCCCTGGTGTCAGGGCAGGAAGGGATGGCGACCCTCTGGGGGGACCAATGGGGTCTGAGACCCACTGGGAGATAAACTGGCCGTTGCTGCCGAGATCAAAGTAGGCAGAGAACTGTGAAAACAGTTCTAAGTCTTTCGGAGCAAATGCTGAGAAGTCAGGAGCTGGGAGGCACAATGCCAGCACAACACAGTCAGTCTATGGGGCTGGGTGAGGAGGAGCTTCCTTTCATGGATCAAAACCCATCAGGAGAGGGATGCCTGAGTGGCTCAGTGGTTGAACATCTGCCTTTGGCTCAGGTCGTGATCTCAGGATCCTGGGATCGAGTCCCGTATCAGGCTCCCCACAGGAAGCCTGCTTCTCCCTCTGCCTGTGTGTCTTCCTCTGTCTGTGTCTCTCATGAATAAATAAATAAATTCTTTAATAAAAATGTAAAATGTGTCCTGTCATCTCATCTGTCTGTGTTAGCTGTTTGGTGTGTATTTTTAGAACTTCCTTCCCTACAGCACACCTTTAAAAAAAAAATACATATAACACACCTGGGCACACACACACATATGAATGCACACTTTTTTCTTCCCCCAAATGGGGCTTCTGTCCCAGAAAGAGTAAAAATGGTAAGATTTCTGTTCAGTCCACAGTGGAGGGGGAGAGGACAAAATATATAAAACAAAGGTTTTAAGACACTGGACATCAGCCAGTAAAGGGCAACATTACCTGAGAGGTGGGATCACAGAGGCAGGTCTTATGACCACCCAGTTTACTACTCATGGGAAAGGCTACAGGCTGTGGCATGGTGGGGGGCAGGGCAGGGAAACTGAGGCATAGTCTAGCAGACTCCCCTGAGCATAGAGAGTGCTCTGGAGATCTGCGATGTCCTAGCACTGGATCCCTGATCAGAGTGTGTGTACTATGAAACTACCCAAACTTGGGAAAAATCACCCAAGAGGATTTGAGAATGTACTCAGAGCCAATCAAGGCTGGGAACAGTGCCCTGTCACAGCAGCCAGCCACATAACTCATACCATTTAATTCACTGGCACCAGGTGGGCCACTCAGATGGTCATGGGGAAAGCAAGTTGTCTAGACTGAGCATAGGTCATAGAGCCAGAAACTGAGAGCAGACCAATGACAGTGTTGGCATCACAACAGACCCATATGGAGGAGACAGAAGAGCCCAGAACTAGACCCCCATACACATACACGGACAGCTGATTTTTGACAAATGTGCAAAGGCAATTCAGCAGAGGAAATTCAGTGGAAATGCTCAGCCTTTTCAACAAACAGTGCTGGAACATCTAGAGAGTCACTCGATGAAAAAAAAGAGCTTCAGTTAACACTTTTGCATCATTACAAAAATTAACTCTAAAGAGATTGCAGAACAAAACACAAAACCCAAAACTATCCAACTTAGAGAAGAACACCTTTGTGGCCTTGAGAGAGCAAAGATTTCCCTGATATGGTATCAAAAGCATGATCCCTAAGGAAAATGGCTCATAACTCGGACAACAAATTAAAACCATCTGCTCTTCAGCAATTAGTGCTGGGGTACTTGGATACCCACACTCGAGAGTGACATTAGACCCCTTCTCTACATAATTCACAAAAATTAACTCAAAATGGACCAAAGACCTAAATGAAGAACCCAAACTACAGAAGTCTTAGAAGAAAACAGAGGAGTGGATCTGCATGACCTTGGGCTGGGCACTGGTCTGTCGGACAGGTTAGCTAAAGCATGCATAACACGCACCTCCAAGAATAGCTAATGTGACTACAATCGCACGCACCAAGTCTGGACAAGCACACGGAGCAACTGGGACTCCCAAGCACTGATGGCAGAGATGTAAAACCATCCCACCACCCTGGAAAAATGTCTGGCAGTCTCCTGAAAGGTTAACATACACATACCATGTGATTCAACCATTCAACATCCTGGGGTTTGCTCAAGAGGAAGGAAAGCAAAGGTCCATAGTGGACATTGCACACACGGCTTCATAGCAGCTTTATTTGCGGCAGCTCAGAACTGCAGACGGCCCAAATGTGCATCAAGGGAACAGATAGGGGACATGTGGATGGCTCAGCAGTTGAACATCTATCTGCCTTTGGCTCAGGTCATGATCCCGGGATCGAGTCCCACATTGGGCTCCCTACAGGGAGCCTACTTCTCCCTCTGCCTATATCTCTGCCTCTCTCTCTCTGTGTCTCTCATGAATAAATAAAATCTTTATTTTTTAAAAAGATCTTATTTATTCATAACAGAGAGAGAGAGAGAGAGAGAGAGAGAGAGAGGCAGACACACAGGCAGAGAGAGAAGCAGGATCCATGCAGGGAACCCGACGTGGGACTCGATCCCGGGTCTCCAGAATCACACCCCGGGCCGAAGGTGGCGCTAAACCGCTGAGCCACTGGGGCTGCCCAATAAAATATTTAAAAAAAAAAAACAAAAACCCAAGTGAATGGATAAATAAATCATGGTCTACCCATAAAGTAGGATATTACTCAGCAATAAAGAGGAGTGAACTAATGATACTATCATACAACATGGGTAAAACTCAAAATAATTATGCCGAGTCAAAGAAATCAGACACACACAAAAAAAAGCACACACGCTGTATGAGTGTATATATGTAAAATTCCAAAATATGCAAATTAAACCACAGCGCTGCTGCAGTAAAGCATTTGCACATAACGTGGTTGCCTGGGGAATGGAGGGTGGGTGCAGGAAGCACGGGGAGATGTTACAGAGAGGAATCAGATATGTGCATTATCTGGATCATGGTGATGGTTTCCTGCTGGGTGTACACAGATGTCAAAATCCATCAGACTATTTTCTTTAAATATGCAGTTAATTGTAGGTCATTTACACTCCCATGAAAGCTCTTAAGAAAAATGGGAACATATTCTTGTTCTGGAAGTTAGTGATTTTGACCTAACACTGAATCAAGGGACATCTTTCCATGTCAGCATCTACAAAGAATGCTCCTCTTTGAAGAGCCACATGGTCTCCATCATACTGATACGATTTGATGTGTTTACTCACTCTTGAATAGATAGACATTTTGGTCACTTCTCCTTTTCTTCCAATGTAAAAGTCTGCACACTTATGGAAGATATCTAAAGGACAGATCTCTAAAAATGGAACAGTTCAAAATGTACTTGATAATGCCAAACTGTCCTCCAAAATTGCTGTCCCAAATTTATATTCCTAAAACAGGAAAGTTCTTTTCCTTACACTGTCATATATATGCCATTATCGTTCCTCACTGGCAAAAACTATATTTCTTTGACTTGATTTGTTTTTCTTTGACTCTGGTAAGGTTTATAAATCTTTTATAAAGTGTAATTTTGTGTATCTCTACATTTATGAACTGCCAGCTCATGTTTGGTCTTTCTATCATCCTGTTTCTTGTTTCATTCTTGTTTATTCCTAGGAGCTCTTTATATAATTATAATCCTTTGACTGTTATATATGTGGTAAATATTACTCCCCCATTTCATTACCTATCAATTTTATTTTTATCTTTTAACTTTCTATATAGTCAAATATGTCCATCCTTTTCCTTACTTCTTTGTAGTCCTCAAGTGACAGGCCGATGGTAATTCAGCGAAGCTGCCCCCTTACCCAGAGACACCAGGTTCCTGTAGTTCTCCAGCATCACATCTCTGTACAGGTCCTTCTGGGCAGGCTCCAGCTGCTGCCACTCCTCCTGGGTGAAGTCCACTGTCACATCCCTGAACGTCACTGATTCCTGTAAGAGGAAACCCACAACCACTCACCACAGGGCCCTGCTCACACAGATCTGGAGAAATAGCCAGAAAAGCCAAGGAGATTTAGGGGAGGCAGACAGGATGTATCTGAATTTATTTCAATAAGGTGTGGAGTTCTGAAGGGACTAACCACTCAGTGTTCTTCGTGTCTGCTTATACTGGGATGGTCCCCTGACAGAAGTAAAACAAACGTAAGACTGTTTATAACAGAAAGTCACACACTTTAGAAACAGAGAAGGAATCAAAGGTACAAAACAAAAACAAAAACAAAAACAAAAAACCACAAAGGTACAGTGACTGTAACCCCATGATTGGACAGGTGTGTTAGCTGCCCAGTAAAGGCAGACTTCTAGATGGGATCCAATAGTTCAGCACGCTGTCCAGAGACCATACAGGGCTGTAAGCACTGAGCCAGGTGCTTACATAGAAGTTCAAGAACAAGCACCTCATGGACGAGGCATATGAACATGTACACAAATCTGGTCAATATGCTGTGAAGGTATGAATGAAATCCTCTAGGTGCCTGAACAATGGCAGCTTTAGGAGGTGTCCAGGAAGACTTCAGAATGAATATGGTCTGAGGGTGGTCAGAGCAGTTGGGGCTGTGGGGGAGGTTGGATCAAGACCCAAGGCATAAGAGGCAGATGAGGCCATGGGGAATGGTGGGCACTTCCCGCAGTGGAGGCCTCTGTGCCTTCCCAGCTGATGCTGTAAACCCAGTGCATAAAGTGAATACCCTGTAGCATGGTAGGGAATGATAGTAGTGATGATGTCAACCACACAGTGACAAGACCTGTCACTATGCAGTTGCTGGGGCCCGGGTCCTGTCCAAAGTGCTTGTTATACATTGAATCATGCCCACCCGCAAGTCCCATGTGCAAGTCCGAACCCCCAGCACCTCAGAATGGGATGTTATTTGGAAACAGGGACACTGCAAATCTCATTAGCCAAGATGAAATCATACTGGAGCAAGGTAGGTCCTTAATCCTACATGACTGGCATCCTCATAAAAGAGACATTTAGACACAGACATTCACATGGAGAGAACACTGTGTGCAGACTGGCGCTATGCTGCCACAAGCCAAGAACTCCCAGAAGCTTGAAGGGAGGCCTGGAACAGCTCCTCCTCCAGGGCCCTCAGAGGAAGCAGGGCCCCACCAACACCCTAACCTTAGGGACTTCGTCCTCCAGAACTGGGAGAAGACAGATTTACACTGGGGTCCCCCAGTCCATGGTGCTTTAGCAAACCAGTATACCCGTCCTGCTCACTATCCTATCCCCAGTGCTTCACAAAATGCCTGGCATCTAGTAGATACTCAATAAATAGTTCCTGAGTGAATAAATGGATCAATGAGGAAGGATGGCGTGAGAATTAAGTTAATCCATGTTTGCTGCTCAGAAAAGTACATCCATACAATAGGTGCTCAATAACCGTCAGCTACTGTTACTGCCACCCACAGGTCCTTGACTCCCTCCTGGGCACTGAACACTCCTCTCCCCAACCCCAAACCATGGCTCATCATCCCTGGGAGGAGGCCTCATCTGTTGGCCAGTTCTTTCATTGTCCCAGAGCCTGCCCAGTATCCTGGCCTCACACTAGCCTCCCTGTCTCAGGGGCCACCACCACTCAACGCAGAAGCAGCATGTGGTAGTGGTTAAGGCTTTGGACTTGGAAGCTTGGCAGCCTGCAGTAAAATCCTGGTTCTGTCCCTCCTGGGCTGTGTTTCCTTGGGCAACTGTCTCAACCCTTCTGGGCCTCATTTGGTCAATGGGCTTCATAACAACAATGTCCTCCCTCCGTGTTTGTCATGGGCCTTAAGTGAGGTAATGCATATATGCCTTCTAGCATAGTGTCTGGTACAGCGGACGTAAGCTCTTAATGAATGCCAACTTTTGCTATTGTCATTTGATTAATTTGACATTTCATATATATATTATATATACATTTTATTAATAATAATAATCATATGATATTATTTGATTCTTTGACCTAATACATCCTTTGGCCAGTCCTGCTAATAATTTCTTATTTTTTAAAAAACATTTTATTTACTTATTCATGAGAGACACAGAGAGAGAGGAAGAGACATAGGCAGAGGGAGAAGCAGACTCCCTGTGGGGAGCCCTATATGGAACTTGATCCCAAGGACCCCAGGATTATGACCTGAGCCAAAGGCAGACGCTCAGCCAATAAGCCACCCAGACATCCCTAATAATCCTTTTTTTTTTTTTAAGATTTTATTTATTTATTCACAAGAGATACACACACAGAGAGAGGCAGAGGGAGAAGCAGGCTCCATGCAGGGAGCCCGATGCGGGACCCAATCCCAGGACTCCAGGATCACACCCTGGGCCGAAGGCAGACGCTAAACCGCTGAGCCACTCAGGGATCTCCATAAAGTGTTTTTTTAAAGAAGGGATTAGGGGATCCCTGGGTGGCGCAGCGGTTTGGCGCCTGCCTTTGGCCCAGGGCGTGATCCTGGAGACCCGGGATTGAGTCCCACATCGGGCTCCCAGTGCATGGAGCCTGCTCCTCCCTCTGCCTATGTCTCTGCCTCTCTCTCTCTCTTTCTCTCTCTCTCTCTCTCCCTCTCTGTGACTATCATAAATAAATAAAAATTTAAAAAAATAATAATAAATAAGGGATTATTAGGGGATCCCTGGGTGGCTAGCGATTTAGCGCCTGCCTTCGGCCCAGGGTGTGATCCTGGAGTCCTGGGATCGGGTACTGCATCGGGCTCCCTGCATGGCGCCTGCTTCTCCTCTGCCTCCCTCTCTCTCTCTGTGTGTCTCTTGTGAATAAATAAATAAAATCTTTAAAAAATGGGGATCCCTGGGTGGTGCAGTGGTTTGGCACCTGCCTTTGGCCCAGGGCGCGATCCTGGAGACCCGGGATCGAATCCCACATCGGGCTCCCGGTGCATGGAGCCTGCTTCTCCCTCTGCCTGTGTCTCTGCCTCTCTCTCTCTCTCTCTGTCTCTGTGACTATCATAAATACATAAAAAATTTTTTAAAAAGCCACTTTATTGAAGTATGGTTGCTATACAAAAAGCTGTGAACATTAATTAATACAATTAGATAAGCTTGAAAAGTACATACCCATGTAATCACCATCACAATCAAGGCCATAAACTTATCCGTCGGGCAGCTCAGGTGGCCCAGTGGTTTAGTGCTGCCTTCAGCCCAGGGCCTGATCCCGGGGATCCGGGATCGAGTCCCACATCAGGCTCCCTGCATGGAGCCTGCTTCTCCCTCTGCCTGTGTCTCTGCCTCTTTCTCTCTGTCTCTCATGAATAAATAAATAAAATCTTAAAAAAAAATACAGAATACGTGATGCTTGGGTGGCTCAGTAATTGAGTGTCTGCCTTTGGCTCAGGTTGTGATCCTGGGGTACTGGGATTGAGCTCTGCATCGGGCTCCCCACAGGGAGCTTGCTTCTTCCTCTGCCTGTGTCTCTGCTTCTCTCTGTGAGTCTCTTGTGAATAAATAAAAATCTTTAAGAATATGTATAGAATAAATGAAGAAACAAAGAGCAAGCCTGGGAAAATATCTGCCGTGACAACTCACACACACACACACACACACACACACACACACGTTTAAAATTTCAAGAAGACAGAGTCCCGTAAACTGGTAAGGCGCCACACAATCTACCCACCCACAAAAGTGGCTAACATTTTCTGAAAATAAACCCTCACTAATCATAATACAGGCAACATTACTCAGAAAGAGATAGTGTGACACTGTTTGTCACCCATCACACCCAAGGTCTATTCCATGTGTCACTTATACCCCACGTGCAGAAGGAATCTCAACCATGGCCGGTGCAGACCTCTCTTCTAGCCTGGCTGGAAGGCATACCACCGCCACTGGCTGGGAAGGTGCTAGAAGCCTCATGGAAGGCCTCAGAAACACTCAACTCAGGGTTCCTCCTCAAGGAATACCCCCTAAGAAATCATACGAAATGCACAGAAAGACTTATGCGCCAGTCACGTCCTTCCTGACATTCACAACCATCAGTTAACTTGAAACCAATAAACATCCTACAACAGGGGAACCATGAAAGAAGTCAGCTATGGCCCTTAGTGGAATTCTCACAGCTATTGACATGGATGTGACAGGGAGCTTTTAAACATGTGGAGAAACACTTAGGATAAAATCTTCAACGGAGAAAAACCAAGATATAAAAACTGCTCAACCAGGGTGATTCTCATTTTTGCAAAACAACATGCATCCAAGGGAGAGAAAGACACACAGACATTCGAGTAGTTATCTCCTGGGGTGAGATCACAGGTCACTCTGATTTTCTTCTCTGTGTTCTTCTGGATTTTTCTAGACTCTTCATCATGATCATGCATTTCCTTTTCTACCAGGTATTTTCTTTTCTGGGCAGCCTAGGTGGCTCAGTGGTTTAGCGCCGCCGTCAGCCCAGGGCATGATCCTGGAGACCCTGGATTGAGTCCCATGTTTGGCTCCCTGCATGGAGCCTGCTTCTCCCTCTGCCTGTGTCTCTGCCTCTGTGTGTGTGTGTGTGTGTGTGTGTGTGTGTGTCTTGTGAATAAATAAAATCTTAAAAAAAAAGAATTCTCTCTTCCTTTTATGATTGGCTATGTACAGCATAAAAAATTTATTTTTTTAAGAAAGTCAAAGTCACCAGATCAACATTTAGGTACATTGACCACACAGCAAAGCAAGTGATGTCTGTAAAGTTTATAATGTTTCAAAACAAGGGAAATCCTTATTGATTAAAGTTGGATGCAGGGGGATCCCTGGGTGGCGCAGCGGTTTGGCGCCTGCCTTTGGCCCAGGGCGCGATCCTGGAGACCCGGGATCAAATCCCACATCGGGCTCCCGGTGCATGGAGCCTGCTTCTCCCTCTGCCTGTGTTTCTGCCTCTCTCTCTCGGTGTGTTACTATCATAAATAATTTTAAAAAAAATTTAGAAGCAAGATGCTTCTCAAAAAAAAAAAGAAAAAAAAAGTTGGATGCAGGGAGGGAAAAACAATATTAAAATGGCAGAGCTAATACTTGGTCAGTTTTTTTAAATAATAATCAGAGAAGGAAGGAAATAAGTGAATACACAAATACCAACAGGATTTATATATGGGGAGAGGGACCATGGGTAAATTATATTGTCCTACCTGCAGCTTACTGGGTTTTCTCTGTTTTCTATAGTGTTTTATAGGTTACTTTTTTATTATTAAATATTCCTGGCATAAAAGGAGGTTTAGAAAAAAATACAACACACAGCCATACGGGTATGGGTACCACCCAATAAAGCAGAGAACCTACTGGTGAGAGCCACAGACACCCAGGTGCACTGTCCCTGGGTGTCCTCCCGCTTCTCCCCAGAGGCAACTGCTCATTCCAGCCCTGGTTTTGCACCTTTACATGCATATGGATGTTCACAGTGACTCTCATGAAGCTGGTACAGCACTGCCCAGGAGCCTCTGCAGGGGCGTTTCTCATGCTTGCTATGAGGTGTTTAAACCATCAGCTCCCAGGTGCCCATTTGTCTCCTGGAAGTCCCGAGCACAGGGCTGGTCCCTCCCAAGCTGCCCTATCCCCCTTGGCTGAGCCAAGGCAGCATCACGGGCAGGCAAGGGGCTGACGGACCTGGAAAGGGCAGAGCAGAGGACAACAGCACCCATGCATGCCACCATCCCCCCCTCTGCAGACAGGGCCAAGAATGTGAGCCCCTAAGGGGGCTGGGGGTGCAGAGGGTCATCCCTGGGTAGGAGCCTCTGGAAGGGAGCATGACGGGGGACGGGGGCAGGACTCACCAGAGCCTCAGCCATCAGCAGCTGGGTGGCCATCCCTCCAGGGCCCAGGTCACCGGGATGGGCGGACTATGGTTGGGAGAGAAGAGAGAAAGAGAGAGAGAGAGAGAGAGAGAGAGAGAGAGAGAGACTGACTGTGAAAGACCAGGCCTGGGCCTGCTTCACAGAACAGACTCAAACTCACCAGGAAGACAGGCAAGGAGAAGTACACACATTAGTAATAAACTCTAAGCACCCCCCCCTCCCGCACGCACACCCCAACACCTGCACACCCTCTGCACCCACACACTGACACACACACCTCCCTGCAGAAAGCACATGTTGACACCCACGCATCCATTCCCACAAGCTTCTGGGGCCCCCTGCCTGCTCCTAGCCACCTGCTCAGACGTCCTTCCCAGGTCTAAGTGTGGGTCTGCAGCCCCACACCCCAGCCCTGTAGGTGCCCCTACACCTCAGGATTCAACCAACAGACAAGAGGAACCTCGTGCCTGAGAGCACACAGTAGGAGATCAACACACAGCAGCTGCTATTCCTGCCATTGGCTAAATATATTCTGAAGGGTGGGATGCAGTCAGCTTCCTACTCAAGGGTCTTCTTTCTCACAGCACTGCCCCACTGCTGTTTATGATGGTTACACAGAATGTCCTTCATGCTCCTAAGCTGATTTAGGGGTGCCTGGGTGGCATGGCTAGTAGAGTGTCCAAATCTTGGTTTCAGCTCACTTAGTGAACCTGGGGGTCCTGGGTTCGAGCCTCACATCAGGCTCTGCACTCAGTGTGCAGTCTGCTTGAGATTTTCCCTCTCCCTCCCCCGCTTCCACTCATGCTTGCTCGCACTCTAAACTAAATAAAATATTTTTTAAAAATATTAAAAATAAACTCAGTTGGTTTAACCAAAATAAATAATTTTAAAAGTCAGTGAGCCAATTTAAATTAAGACAAAATACTGGACAGGCAGCACAGGTTGGGCAAATTCTTGGGAGTGTGAAGCCAAAGGGCCGCCCACTTTAACAAGCAAAAAGTTGCAATTTTAACTTGCACATAAGGACAGGTTGGCAGAAGCCTTTAGAACACCAGTTCTCTGCCAGGGGGTGATTTGGGGCTCAGGAGACATCTGGCAACATCTGAAGACATCGGCAGGTGCCACAACTTGGAGTGTGCTATGGGCATTTGGTGGGCAGAAACCAAGCATGCTGCCCAGTATCCTCTGCTGCACAAGGCAGCCCCCGCAGCAAAGACTCCCAATAGCACGGAAGCTAAGACACCCAGGCACAGATTGCAAAGACATGGGCTCAGGTATCTTAGTACTCAAGTCTGTAGACCCCACGGCACCACGTCTGGCCTGCAGATAGCCCTCAATAACCATTTTCCTGTAGCTTCCCACAGCATTAGAAATCACCCACAATTGTCCCAGCTGCCCAGGTGGCCCTCATCATGGTCTGCCCCTGCTGACCATCCCCCTCCATCCCACTCCACTATCCCCTCCAGCACAGGCCCCCAGGCACTCTGGCCTTCACAGCTGCTCCCTCTTCAGGGATGCTCTTCCCATGACTAGCTCTTCTCATGGCCTACTTGGAGAAGTAGATCCTCTACCTCCAGACCCCTGCGCTCAAGTGGCAACACCCTCCACCCCTTCTGCCATCTTCCTATAGCACACATGATCATTGACAGCTGACACTTTTTAATGAAGTGTTCTCAGATTTCTCATGTCTTCCCTCCACTGGAATGCAATCCCCTAGGAAGCAGAGATGATCATTTCTGGATGGGCTCTTTAGCATCTAGGACAACGTCCAGCACAAAGGAAGCACCGAAACATAGAGAGGAATGAACAGAGGAGCAAACTTGAGTGCTGGCAGAGAGACAGAAACGAGACCTCTCACACACAGCTAAAGGAAATAGAGTCTTTCATCTTTCCAGAAAGTGAGGCAGCAATATATGAACCCCATAAACCACCAGTCCTGTCTGAGACTCTACCCAAAGCAGAGTTCTACATAGAAAACAGACGTTTATTGTGGGACCATTCCTAGAGGCAAACGACCAACCAACCAACTAACCAACAAAAAGTCCTGGAAACAATATAAGAAGTACCCATTGGGAAGGGAGAAGCTGTGTTATGAAGGATCATGTTATCTCTACAAAAGAGGAGTCCGTTCTGCATTTACTCACATCTGTAATGTCACTAAATGAGAAATGCAATTCATATAAGAGTTTTATACTGAACTTTAATAACCTCTCTGTGTAAAAACAAGCCAGCACACAGGGTGGGGGGGGGGTGCGGTGTGCTTCTGTGCAGCATTTCTGAGCCTGGGGAAGGGAAAAAGTAGGGATGAGAAGTAGGCGTTATTCATTGTTTTCCGGTTCTGTTTCCTGGATGCAGTCATTTCACATTACTGTCCTGATGTTTGAAACAACATTTAACTTTTAAAAAGATATTTTTAGGGCACCTGGGTGGCTCAGTGGCTAAGCATCTGCCTTCAGTTCAGGTCATGATCCCGGGGTCCTAGGATCGAGTTCCACATGTGGCTCCCCGCAGGAAGCCTGCTTCTCCCTCTGCCGGCGTCTCTGCCTATCTTTCTGTGTGTGTCTCTCATAAATAAATAAATAAAATCTTAAGAAAAAAATTTGTTTAAACGAAGCCCATGAACTCATAGTGACTGGCCCTGTGAGGTGACATGTGCATGGGCCTGGTAACTGTCAAACCGGGTGTGGCATTTCCTTCCTTCCATTGTTTCTAGGGGAGAATCCCATGGGGAAAAATCCTGGAACTTTGTCTCAGACAAGTTGAAAGGAAAATAGAATTTCCCTTTTGTCTGGTAGTTTAGCATGGGGGCTCTGGAACTGGATGCCTGGGTATAGGGCCAGGTGACTCATTAGTCTCTGTGCTCAGTTTCCCCATTTGTAAAATGAGGGTGATAAGGGCTCCCGCCTGAGTTACCAGAAGGCTTCTAAATGAAGTAGTCCCAGTGAAGTGCCAGAATGGCACTCTGAGTGCCCAATACACATTTCCTGAACACATAAACCTCTGGTCAGGATGGGGCAGGGATCATGACTCCCTTTTAAGGAGGACACTGTGGGAGAAGGCAGAGAAAGAAGGATCACCTCCCCTCGGCCCCACATGCTGTCACCCACACACTGCCTTGCAGCAGATTCCTAGCCCCTCCAGAGCTTTCTATGGGCCAGACAAGTCTGTGAGGGCATGGAAGGAACTGGGGAGTCTGGGAGCCCCAGGCCAGGCCCACCTATCCAGATATGCCAGGTCTTTCACATCTACTTTTGGGAGAGGCACACCCAGATGCACTCACGTGCGCGCGCGCGCGCGCGCGCGCGCACACACACACACACACTGAGCAATGGCCAAAGATAGAGACACGGATGGATGCACTGATAGAGAAACACACCCCACATCCAGGGACAGAGACAAATCCAGAGGCCAGTAACAGACACAGGTATGCACAGAGGGACACCCTCAGAGACACTCTGGCCCTGCTGATAAAGGCAGACAGGTGTACGGCCATGCACAGGCAGGACCAGACAGGTGTGCCATTGGATGGCACCTTCAAGGACACTCTGGCCCTGCTAATAAAGGCAGACAGGTGTACAGGCATGGACAGGCAGGGCCAGACAGGTGCGCCCCAGGACGCCACCCTCACAGACACTCTGGTCCTGCTGATAAAGGCAGACAGGTGCAGAGACACGAACTGACAGGACCAGACAGGTGCGCCCAGAGACACCACGACAGGCAGGCGTGCAGGCACAGCGAGGCAAGCCCACAGGAGAACGCCCGGACTCACACTGACTCACACACAGGTACGATTGCAGGGCCGGCGCACACGCGGTCAGGCACACGGATCCGCCTCCTTCCGACGGGAGCCCAGTCTCAGCTGCCCCTCGCAGGTCCGCGCCCCTCCCCTGATCCACCCCGCCCGCAGTCCGCACGCCACTCACCTGCGCCCGCACGCCCCCTCCCCCAGGCCAGGGTCGTTCCGCGCTAGGGGAGCGGAATGAGGGACCCCGCCCCTCCCCCTCTCCTCCCGCCCCGCCCGCTGCTGTCTCACCCGCGCGGCTCGGCCAGGACAATGACCCGCGCCCGCTGGGCTCGCCCGGCCGCACTGCGCCTGCGCGGACGGGCGGACTACACTACCCAAAGAGCCGCGCGCTACCGTCTCCGCTCTGGTGTTCGTCAAAGGAACGGAACGAAACCGAGCAGAGCCGAGCCCAACCGAGCGGAACCGAGCCCACCTGAGACCGGATTGCGCCCTGCCATCTCCCAGAGGTCCCAGCAGCACCGCTGCCAAGGAGATGGCCTGTGTGTGGGGAGGAGGGAGGAAGGGGGCGGGGCGAGAGGGAGGAGGAAAGAGGAAGAAGAGGGAGGAGGATGAAAGGGAGAAGTGGAGGAGAGAGGTAGACGGGAGAGGGAAAGGAGAAGGGCCGGGGAGGGGAATGGATGAGAGGGGAGGCCCGGGAAGGAGGAGGAGGAGCCAAGGAGGAGGGAGGAAGATGGGGAAGGGCATGAAAGAAGGAAGAAGAAACAGTGGAAGGAGGGGGAGGGTGGATCTCTAAGGAGGAGGCACAGGGCGGGAGGAGAGCAGATTGGAGAGGAGGAGAGGGAGAAGGAAAGAAGTAGGGAACATTCCAGCAAAGGTTGGGCCGTAGAGCATCTTCTGCAGTCGTCCTGGTCCTGCAGCGCGGCCTGTGAACTGCACAAGGACCAAAGTGGCAGGAATACTGATGGGGGAACAGGGGACTAGCTGAGGACAAGGCAAGAGCTTGGGGCAGCACATTGACAAGTCCTTGAAACAAGGAAAGGGACATTTCCTCTATGGACTCAACTGCCTCGATGTTCATACTTTGCTAAGG